GACATTGCTGCCTTAGGACTCCTTTCCCCCTACATCTAACACTGCCTTCAGCTGAAAAACCTTCTGTTCTAGTGAAGGTGCTGGATTTCAGCACGCGATATTAAATAAAAACAGAGTGAAGGCCATTTTTGTTATAGAAATTCCTGAAAAGCAATATTGATTCTCTCATACCTCACTCCTAAATGTATTTTTCTCTGGTTATTAGCTGTTACAGAAAGAATACTGTAGCATATTAACATACTTCCCTCATTAAGCACATGATGAGCTACAACTCTGACTGCATTTTTAATTGCTTTCCTAAATGACTGAGGGAGGCAGAACCTTTCCTCAAAATTTAACTCCTGATGTGATGTTACAATAATTCTTTTATTCGATTAGTTCAGTTTTTATCCATCTGTCTCATCTCCTCCTTAGGTTGGGGGCATTAAAGACAAAGTGCTGGCAGCACACCGAGCTGGCCTGAAGAGAATCATCCTCCCGCAGAGGAATGAGAAGGACCTGGAGGAGATCGCGGCGCCCGTGCGGCAGGAGCTGAGCTTCGTGCTGGCCTCGTGCCTGGACCAGGTGCTCAACGCCGCCTTCGACGGCGGCTTCGCGGTCAAGGCCAGCCTGGAGCACCTCAACTCCAAACTCTAGGCAGCCAGGCTGGGGCACTTCTCTCTCCGGTTCCACAGTCCTTGATCTCTTTCAGCTACATTTAGGTATCAGGTACAACTATGAGCTAAATGGCTTTGAATGGGGGTGTTGGTGCCATCAAAAGGAAGATGCTGCTGCAGTTATGAACCTGGAATTGCACTTTAGGGGCATTTGCTGCTTTTTATCAGCAAAGAATCTTGAATCTCATTTCCTGATAGATTTGAGCATGAGAAAGAATTCCTTAGCCTGTCTGGCACCTAGGTGTGTACATGGCAGCAGCTGGTCACATCCTTAAAGAGGGAATAATGTGCAGCAGGAGGGGGGTCATAGGTGGAGTTGTTACAAAAAGCAAACTGATTTAGTGCAGGTTTACTTATTTACAAAATATCTGTAATAATAATGAATAATGATGTGCTAAGGAGCAGCAGTATCTGGGGAAAATAAGGTTTTTAAAATCTAAAAAAATATGCTTAACGCATCTGAAGAGAAGCACTGTGGCCTAATAAATGAAGTTAGGAAGTTCTTTTAGCACTTGGTTCTAGTTTGTTCTATTTTTCAAATGCAGGAAGCAATGCCAGAACTGAAGTGTAGATATTATTGTGTAGGAAGGGAGAGAACACATCAGTTCCATCTGCACAGCTGTCCCTGCAGCAGCAGCAGGGGGGGTGGAGTGTGCATGAGGCCTTAATGAAAAACCCAGGAATGTTCTGGAGGGGCAGAGTGCATGTCCTTCATTCCTACCCACCACAAACCCACTTGGTTCTGGGATCCCCATGCTTGGAGGTTCACCTATGGAAATTAAATCCATTTGAACAATGCCAAGAAAATTCTGAATCTTTATTCAGTGTGAGTAATGTAAGGTTCAGGAAGTCTGGCAGCCTCCCTGTCCTTTGTTAGCTTTGTCTCTTATCTCCCCTTGAACCTCAGTGAGGACTGTGCTTCAGTGAGTGATTCTTTATTCCAGGGGCAGCCCCACAAGCAAATCCTGGGTGTTGTTACATCCTTCTCTTGCTCACTGGTTCTGAAACAACCCCCAAAGTGCTTATGAAACACAAGCTGTACCAGTCACAACAGCCTATTCTAGAAGCTGCCTAAAAATCAAAAGTAAAGAGTTTGCTTTGCTTTCATTTTTGTAGATAACAAAGCTGATTTACCTGGAATAGAACAGCACTGATTAAAATCAATTCAGTGGGAATTTCAACACCTATTTTACAAAAGATTTTACAACTTTGACAAAAGACCTAATCTAATAAAATGATAAAAATAAAACCTGCTTCTGTGTCAGTATTTTAAGAGCTGCACTCTTAGTCACTCACAAGTATGTTTTGAGTCTACAGACAACAGCCCCAGCCTCAGAACATGCTCTGCCTCATGAGAAATGTGCAGGGAAGAAGTGCAAAGAAATTTTCCCCTGGGTAAAACCCCAGCCTGGTAACTCTGTGCTGCTGCTTTGCTTTTGATCAAACCAGGAGGGAAAAATCCTTTACCAAACAGATGGAGGAACAATCCTGCACTGCTCTGCACTTCGAGAGCAATGACATGCTTGGAATTCCAGCACGGTCTGTTTACACATGGACAAAACAAATCTGCATTTTTTTAGAAGAGAATAAGGACAACAAAAAAAAAAGTTTCCAGCATGGTCAACAGGGAGCTGCTCCCCAGAAAGTTTAAGGATGACTTTCTGTCTGACACATCACCCCAACTCCTAAGCCTCATCCCCACGGACTCCACCTGAAGGTGAGGGGTGTAATGGCACCCTGAGGACAATGCCAGGCATTCAGTGCCAGCTCCTCCTGTCCCTGCTGCCAGAGCTGGGGAGGTTCTGTTACTGAGCTGAGATTCCTTTGAGCCAACATAAGCACGAGCCATTACAGCAGCCACTACAGCCACACTTTGGTGCCTTTTGTTTGCTTCCACTGAGCACAGTAATCCGTGCAGCAGGGAGCCAGAGCAGTGCAGAATGAAGGGATGCCAATACCCTGGGGAGTATCTGCTTAGGAACAGTTACATGGAGCAGAGATTCAACTTGTGTCCCTCAGAAAAATACCCCAGAACAGCTGAAGCTTATCAAAGTGCTTTCCTGTATCCACACTGTAAACTGCTACAGACAGTAACTATCCCATGGAACACTTCCTGCTTTAATCACAGCAGCTTGGAAGAGATTCTGGGTAAAACAACAGGACAGGCAGCAATACAAAACCATTCACCTGCTTTAATTTTAAACCACTACTGCAAACAAGAACTAGCAGGAACCGTCACAACAGAATCAAAATATTTACATCCACATTTGTCAAACATTTTAAGGCCTTTTTTTTCCAAAAGGGCAATGAAAAACCATGGAGGTAGTGCTAGCAGACAAATGCAAGATTTACTGTTTTTCATCTTTTAGAGACAGATTTGAATACTCCTCCCAATACAGCAAAGTAAAACAGCACTTTCTAAAATAAACAGCTAATGTTAAGACAATGCCAGGCTTTAATACACCATTTATTTTAGATAAGGTAGTAAACTGTACAGACTTCTAGTATGTTTTTTTTTCATATATAACAGTGTAGTTGACTTACCAGATCCTCACTCTTTAGGCTTTTTAATACTGTTGAGGATCTGGGCCCAAGGGTAATTTCATAATTCCATCTGATGATGGATATTAAAGGTTTTGCACAATTATTTAACACCAAATGGAGCAATACTAATTTACATTACAGTAAGTCAGCATACAGTAGTTATGCTATAGCTCTTGTCCTCTGTGAAACATGAACAAACCTGTCTGAGCACAGCTTCTAAAGCTCACTGCAAAGGCCATTCCTGAAGGCCCCTTCCAGGGCACAGCCCTGACCTTCAGCACACTGTGGCTCAGTGAAACCCCTGCAGCTCAGCACAAGGGCTCAGGGGTGACACAGCCCCAGCTGAAGCCTCCCCAGCTCAGCAGTGACCAGCCCTGCACAGCCCTCTCAGGGCCCACACACATTCCCCACCACGTTCCCTCAGCACAGCCAGGCAGGCACCAGGGAGGCAAGGGAGATAGATGGGGGCTCCTCTAAAGAGTATTTAGCCAACTTTCTGCTAAAGACACACTGGAGGTAAATACAGACAAGCTTAATTAGGTGAGAATAATGACTGAATTTAGAAAACTGCAAACAGTTGGCTGTATATTCAAAAAGAAAAAAATGCTAGATTGCAGGAGTTTTGGAAGCATTTATCTACTGTCACAAGGTACCAGTACATCTTTTAAATTACATCTGTGCACAGTTCAAACAGTCTTAAGTATCAAATTTTCAGAGTGAAACCTTACTACATGAAGCCAACTATTTCTGTAGTATCCTATTAATCCAACCCAATGGATTTTATGTTCCTTACCTGTAGAACTACTTACCTCATCATGCATCAAAAACAGTAAGAACAAGAGTTGTCCTAACAGATCAACTTCTGATAAGAAAGTTAAGACAGTGCACAGTAAATAAACTGTATTTTAATGTGTTACAAAAGTAGCCAACAGCCAGCCCAGCTCCCCGACACTGCTGAGGTGGAACAGCTTTCCCTGCTCCTGTCTGGGTCTGCTTTGTAACACAAATCCCGTTTACATTCGTGGTTCAGGTTTGCACATACAGGCAGTCTGCATAAAGCCCAGTATCCTTCCAAAGCCTTTAGGGCTGGTCAGTCACACCTGGAAGAGATTTATCTGCATTGTCATGTGGATCATGTCACCAAAATGAGATACAAAAGTCAGTTCCAGACAGTTGCTTTAGTAACAACCAAAAGACATGAAGACAAGAAACTGAGCAAGAGCATCAATGTGTCAAACTTTGAGCTAAAGCAAAAAGCAGAAGTTGGCTGTGTTTTTTTTTTCATTTGCCAGGTAATCTTTTAATGACAAATATAAAAAGACTGAAAACATCTCACTCTGACTGCCTTTTTTTTTAGACAAATGGTCTGCTTTTATAATTACAATAGTGTGTAATACAGTACTTCCTTTGTACTGCAAACCAACAAATACAAGGATGCAATCAATTTTCTAAGCATCTCTAAATTTGAAATGTGAATTGCTTTTTTTTTTTTCAAATTTGGAAAGTTCTTAATAATTGTTTCATTTTTGTTAGAAGATAACTCAAAGTACAACAACATCTAGACCTGTTTTTAAAGGAGCTGTCTTTCCTGACACATCTTTGAACATAAGCACTCCTTTCGAGTTCAGTACATTCACAAATAGCTCAATTAAGAACAGTATCACCAATGAATTGACTACTGGAAAGAGACAAAATTTACCAAACATACAGAAATATAAGTTTTACCATAGCAATTATGCATATCAAAAGATGACACCTGTAATTAATCTTAAAAAGATACAAAAAAGAGAAAAACCTGAATTACAGAAAAGAAAGTCATATTTATTTAATGAAAAACTAGAAGTTAATAAAAATTAGCAAATACACAAAAAATATACACAAACAGCAGCAATACTATGTAGTGACTTACAAAGGGGGGGTGGGGAGGAGGAGGGGAAGCAGCGGCCAGGACCAGACCGCTCAACATGGCTTGTCAGTCAAAGGGGGAGGAAAAAAACACAAACAAAAACACGAAACAGTATCCTTTTCAACAGTACAATCAATCTACAAACAAGTTTTAGAATTATTTTACAACATTTCCTGTAGAATCAATTCTTAATACAAAAGATGCCCATTTTGGGTGTATATATATTTTCAGTGGTTTACTGTTGACTTATTTTAAATATATTAGTTACTACATGCAACTGCTTCCTGTAATTTAACAGCCTTTCCTTTTATTTACCTTCATTTATGTCTACCCTCCATCTACCAAATAATTTGTCTGACAGTCAAAGATGGTTACCCTATTTCTGCTAAATTAAATGCAACGGTTTTAAACACTGGCCTGAAGAGGTTTGATTGCCATTTCAACACATGGATATAGTTACGTTGATGCCTAAATTGCCATTTTCTGCAAAGAGCTGTGCAATGCTGGTGTCAAAGACTAGACAGTCACTATTCATAATGGCTGTTGCAATGCCCTCATGAATGGATCGAGGAGTTGCTTCCCAAGTCAATCGCCGCCTATGCCCGTTTAGCTCGAGTCGATAAGCAAAGTTTTCCGCTTGCTTGCGCGTTCCTATCAGCTGTACAATTGCAAAGAACTGCTGGTGACCATCATACTTTTCCTGTTTCTCCAACACTAGCATGAAATGAAAGCCGAAACAAGACTGCATCATAACCCAGTCAACAGCACCAGGAAGATTAATGTCCGTGGCCAGGAACACTATATCTTCTCCCTGCAGCGTCGTAATTGACTTGTGCTGATGCATCAGGTGCGGCATGACGGCATCCAGAGAGCCTTGCCATTTACACGAAGCACCGGGACAGGGACAGGAGTAAGGCCTAAACTCACACAGCTCCTCGTGGTCTGCTTTCTCTGTGTGTGGCAAAGTTATCTCGCAGCCGGAGGAGGCGTATTTACACGGGAATAGTACGGAATTGGCAACTTTCTCCATGGCCAGGTTCCGGATGGAGCCCAGCGGGCCGCGGCAGGTGGGGCAGCACGTGAGCTTGGGCCGACAGTTGCTACAGACCAGGTGGCCACTCTGACACTGCAGGATGGGTGGCAGCACATAGTCAAAGCACACGGGACACTCAAAGAGACTGGCCAAGTCATTGTTGGAGGCGGTGGTGCCCGTCAGCGCGGGCACCCTCTGCGATGGCGTGCACTTGGAGGTACCTGTGGGTAGGGCTGTAGCGGTCTGACGGCTCATTTCTGCAACAGAGCACACAACACACAGTTCAGATCTCACCGCGCCTCACTGCCATGCACACAGCATTTCCTGACTCACAAAGCTTCAAGAGACAGTAAGACACCAATGAAAGCAACCCCCTCCCAGGTACTACAAACTGCACATTGGTATGTGCAGATCAGCTGTGCACACACGGCACAGACGCTCGCGTGACATGTAAACAACAAGTGAAGAAGTTCTGCTCATTGTTCTAAAGTGGCATTTACCTACTGGAAGCTGCAAGGGAGGGGAGTAAAAACATGCTAAAAATAAGATGTTTGTTATTGTTGGTTTGTTTTTTTAATATTGCATTCATGAAATGCTTCACCCAGATCACTTGTACGTATCAACTCTGTGTATGGAACAATTCTAAGCTGTTGTGTGTGAGAAATGAGGCATTTTTAATGGAAAAAACCTATCTTCTGGATGTGACCTTCTCAGTAACCATGCTTACAGTGTAATTTATTTTTAAAAAGTTGAAAAACACAGCTCAGACAATTACTACCCTACTTTTTTCCCCAGGATAGGACAGTGACTCTTCATTTTCATTACTTTGCTACAGAGGCCCACAGCTTGTAAAGCACAGCCACTGCTTCAGCTTCCTTTACTAAACCATTTGGGAGGATACCAGAAAAAAAAAAAACCCAAAGCAATTACTTTATCTAATTTCCCAAATAAGATTAAAAATTCAAACTTGTTAAATTTGAGAATTCATTGTACCATGTAAATACTCAGACATTTTCAGTCCCTCTTGATGAAGTTCTATGTTCAGTGGAGCTCCTACTGAACTTCTGCCCTCTCCAATGTCCCCAGACAAAGGTGACAGCTGTCTGACCAAACAGCTTGCTCAAGCATTCCACAGATGTGGAACAACTACCAACCACATTTCTTAACATGTTACATTTTCCTGCACTCCTAACTCTCCTCCTTCTTGTGGAAAAGAAATTACCAGCACTATCTGAAAAAATAAACACAGTTTTGAAAAAATAAACCATACCTTTGTAGGTAAAGGGCAGTTAAATAAAATGCTATCCAAAATTGGCTTCTGTTACACAGTACAATTCTCAGCCACCCTAAGTGCCTCTCTGCGAGTACAACCAGCTCTGGATCTGTCACGTACGTATAAAGCTCTCAAAATAAACCTCATCTTTAATCTCCTTGCTATTTGACATGGGAATATTAGGCAATAGGCAAGCTTCCCATATTTAGCATCATTTCACCCACAAACTTACTCATACTTGGACCAGACAGCTCAGAGCAGCATACTGTGCATGCTTTTGCAAGACATGCACTGTTCAGGGCACAAAGCAGAGGAACGAAGAGATTCCTCCTTGCAAAATGACTTAGTCCTTGACATTTAAAAAGTAACGAGAGACAGACAAGTCCAAATTCCTCTACAGAAGCACCTCTCCCCAGAGCTAGAAAGTATGAGTGTCTAAGATACAATTCTCAGACACTGATTTTACAAGTCTCACAAGTCCCACTGACAGCATCTCCCTAACCCATCAAACTCTTCCTCCATCTCAGTCTTGGTGGTCTAGAAATACTTGGGAAAAACACCCATGCAGCAGTGTTCAGTGCTGGGCCATAGCTGATCCTGTACAGATATGACAAGGATGTTTGTGTCTTTTGGCTGTATCTTCCCACTATGAGGCATTCCAGCTTAGATGAGAAGTTTAGGATGTCTGTGACAAATCCAGCATGTGTCCTGGGGCAGTGATGCGGCAGCAGCCAGGGGACTGGAGCAGCAAGGCCCCTGCCAGCTGCCCTGCTCTGTGTCCCAGCAGCTGCAGGTGGGGGCACCCTGCAGTTCTGTGCTCCAGAACAAACCATGGGACACGGGACAACCAGTGCTGATCACACTGATCGCTCGGGAAGAGCTCAGAAATAACAAGCATATTCATATGTAAAATTCTGGGAAAAGCTTCCCTTTAAATACTGCAAACACACACATTTCAGAAAGCTGTGTGTGCTTCCTCTTGCCTGACCATGTACATCCTGATGCAGGGATCCTCCATAACCTGCAGATAACGCTGGTGAAAGCCACTGCGTCAGACCAGTTCCCTGGGCAGCCTGACAAGCTGGGTGAGCTCTGCTGCCTTTAATTACACCTCGCTGAGCCCATGCAACAGTTAAATGAAGCAACCTAAAACTCTGTGAAAGACCTTGTGCACAGATGCACTTCCCACCTGAGCTAAGGTACAGAGGCACTGGAGAACAGAACTGTGTCAGCAGTGCTGCTGTGTGAGCAGCCTTCACACACACCTTCCACAGCACTCACAGGAGCGGCACTGGAAGCGAGGAGCAATCTCTGAACCAGACCACTGGGATTAGCATGCAGGAAAGACACTGCATAAGGCTATAAACTGTAATTTACCAAGCCTAAACCTGCCCAAAGCCTACATTTTCATCACTCTTGTTAACACGAAGATGAATAATACATCTTTTATGGCTATCTCAAAAGTTACAAGTTAATCACAAGCAAAAGTTTTAACAGTGGAATACATTTAACCCACCAACCTTTGAAAACAATACAATTACAAACCCAGGAAAAACAACTACAGAACCGGAGATAAAGTTTAAATATATTTTTAGTTACAAACCCCTTAGTACAGGTAAAAACACTTATATGCAATATTTGCTATTTCATTACCTTTATTTGCACATGTTAGGAACAAGTTTCTAAGCAACAGGGACAAACTAAGGAACACCAAGGTGTCATTTTCAAGAGTATTAGGTCCTTTGACTCCAGTTATCAAAAGCGACTACGTATTCAAAAATATTTACCCAACAGTAAGAGTGAAAAGGGGAAAACGCATCTGAAGATTTCCTAGTGCTAAATCAAGAAAAGCTGCTCCTGGTAACATCTAGAACGCACCGACCTGTTGCTAAAAGCATTCTCAACACTGTTCTGGGAAAGGTGACATGCACAGGCTACCGAGACCTCCCGCGGGACACAACTCCACATCTCCTACAAGCCCAGCGTTAAATACTGCGCACAAGGCAATGCAAACGGCGCTACCTTTCCCCTTGCAGGCTTTACTCCCCGGCAAGCACGCAGACCAGACGCCCTTCCAGGAGTACGGCCCGCTGGAGGCGGATCTGCCCGTCATGGGGCGCGGAGGAGCTCATGGCGCGTCCGCGCAGCACAGGCGGGCCGGGGCCGCGGGCCGGGCGGTGACGGCGCCCAAAGCCCCCGCGGCGGCCGGGGGGCCCCGCGCGGCGCCCGGATGTCACCGCCCCGGGCGGGGCCCAGCGCCCTCATGTGCGGCCGCGCTCCGGCCCCGCGGCCCAAAATGGTTCCCGAGCTTCCCCCGGCACTGCCGGCCCGGGACGGCCCCGCCCCGCCCGCCACCGCCTCCGGGGAGGACGCGGCTCGGCCCCGCCCGCTGAACCGGGAGCCGGCCCCGCCCTTCCCGCGGAACCGGGAGCCGGCCCCGCCCCGCCGTGGCACCGAGATCCGGCCCCGCCCGGCCGGCCCGCACACCCCGCAGGCCCGCGGCCCGGCCCAGCCTCACACGTGCGCACCGAGAAAGCCCGCCGCCTCCCCCGAAATAACTGCTTGAAAAAGCTACAGCTTCCATTCAAAACTCTGCTAAGACATGAAAATCACTTCCTACTATTTCAAGGATATTCCTGAGATGAGCATTTTTCACTGTGGATCTGTAAAGTCCTATTCAACAGGAATTTTCTCCATTTGTATAAATATTATTCAATTAAACAAAAGCATAATCTCAAGGAAAAGAGATGACCAACAGAACTAAAACAATGTGGCATACTGATTATCTACTTGGACTATTGAAAAAATTAGAACGGGTAAAAGGATAAAGCAGTTGGAAGCCAAGTCAACACGCTTGTGTGATGCACACACTGCTCAGAAAAGCTTAGACATTATGGAACGCTGATGTAATGATGGTAAGGTCACAGAAGTAACAAATTTCAGTGGAAGCAACAGAACAAACACACAGAGATAAACTGTTGTGGTCACATAAAAAATAAGGCTACAAAATCTGCTTTCCTACTATTTGAAATCCAAGTCCTTTTCCAGAAGACTTTTATCAGCACTGCAAATAATGCCAATTGCTACAAAGAAAACCTGCCCACTCGATACAAGGCTTCCTTCAGTCTCACCCACAAACCTGCAATATACAGCATCCCATCGGGTAAGAGTCAAGAGAGTTTACAAGCAGAACAGAAAAGCTGAAGTAAAACTGCACAGAAAGAGCTTTTGAGGAACTAAGAGCATGTGGCGAGGAGCCACCCCTCGTGTGGCAGCGTCCCCAGAGCAGAGCCACCGGCCCTGGCCAGGCTGCAGCTGCAGCTGCCCCGCGCTTGGCTGGCTGCCCTGTGCCTGGGGACAAAGGCTCTGGGACCCGGACACAGAACCAAAATCCTGGGGGAATGGGAAGCACAACCAAACCACTGGTTAAAAAGCTCTGCTGAGACATAGGTGCACAGAAAGTAGTTTGAAAAAGCTGAAAAAGATCGTGTGCCTCATGTGGCAGGGAGTTATCAATGATAAACAGGGCTAGACTGATACTCTTCCACCTTCTCACCTTATCAAGGTGTTAGCTCCAGACACATTCTAAAAATCACATCTGTGCTTCACTGGAATGCAGGGTACCTCTGACAAATTCAACTTGGCATCATCCACTTCTCTCACATCAAATAGCACATCTTCTCTCATATCCTCACCCATTTCAAATAGATTAGACTTGAGTTTAGCATTTTAGCTAGCTTTTGAAAGCGTAACTGAATATTAGGGGAAAAAAACACACACAAAAGTTCTGTGTAGTCATCTTAATGGCTGGAAGGGAAAAAGTCTCATATAAGAGTAATAAAAGGACAGAAAAAAGTTAATCACAATTGTCTGTATGTGATGCAACAACATAATTTCTTCCATAACATTTCAAAACTAACTCCATTCAGGAACTCCCATTCAAAGTGCACCCTTAATGCATTACAGCCACCAACAAAGTGACAGAAAATCTTTCATCTTTTTCAACAGTACATTCATATTTGAGAATAAAACTTTTTACACACAATACTGCTAGAGAGCACTGGATATGAGAATAGGATGAAGTTGTGAAAAACACTCACAAGTTACTTTTTTCAAGACATAACACAAGCCAAAGAATGTCAAAACCCAAAAGCTAAATGAAAGGTTGAAAATACTCATTAAACATAAAACATATCAGAGAAAATATTGCCAATATTTTTGAAGAAACTAGTATTTTTAATTTTATTTAATTTCAAAGACATTTTAGGGCCCAATGCTTTCCCTCTTGCAGTGTATCAGTTTCTCTTTCCCAGCTCTCAGGAGATGTTGGATCCCAAGGGCCTGGCATGGTCAGGATCAAATGCAGGCTGGACAGACGTGTGCACCCCTGCTCAGACACAGCCTCTGGACTTGCTGCCCTACTTCAGAATTTTTAGAAGACAGTTCATGACATAAATTATTAATCAACTATATAATACAATTTAGTCTCTACACACTCTGGGTTTGACTAATGAATTAGGATTTTCTTCAACCCTTGCAGACACTCTTTTCTTTGGTGCCCTTAACTATGCTATTTGTTATTTCAGACACCTCAGGGCTTCTCTTTTCCTGCATAACAAGCAAAAGCTAGATCAATCCAATGTAACTGACAATTATAAAATGAGACCAAAATAAACAAAATTGAGTCAAGACTTGATGATTTCCTTTGCCAAAATATCATCTGTCCAGTTAATCTCTTTTTCACACACAATCAGACCATTTCCCTCTAACTTACAGTGACCCAGTCTGCCTGAAACTGCAGGCAGCTTTTTCCTTGCACCTCAACACATTCCCTATCAACCTCATTTTCCAACCACCAGGAAGGGAAACCCCAACAGATTTATAGAACCATGGAATTGTCTTTGTGGCCATCACTGCAGTGAGTCCCCAGTCCCTGACACCCCATGTTTGTGATGTGTCCCACACGTGTCCCCCCACGATCCCCAGTGGAGCCATGGCAGTGCCTGCCCTGCCCCTCTCCGAGCTCAGCACACCCACTGGCAGATGCAGACACAAACACAGCCATGGAAACACCAACAGCATTGTGACACCCTCCAAATCAGTGACCTATTTCTAACTCAGTGCAAACACCTGACTTAGGTCAGTGCTGTTTGACTTCTGCCTCATCGCTGTTGCTCACCATTTCTCCTGTGGAGATATGCTGCAATATTCAACATCAGCCCAGGAGAGGTTTTTCCCAGCTGTTAAACATTTTCTTTCCAACAACTTTATAAGGTAAAATTATGAAGGAACTGTATGCTGTAGAAGACATAGAATGACCACATCAAAATCACAGTAACTAACTCCTATGACTGAAGTGCTCAATTTTAAATGCAACAAAGAACTTCATCAATTCCAACAAGTGAATAACCTTCTCCATTCAAACAGAGCTTCAACATCCACCTTTGCACAGAACACTGGAGCCCATGCTGCTATGGTACCTCAATCTTGTGAGGGAAGGAAAGCTGAGGAACAATGCTCTGTGAAAAAACCTGATAAACCTCCAAATTTCGTTCCGAAATTCACTAGCTAGCAAACTAGCTAGTGAAACTATATACAGCTAAACAAAAACACAGGGAAAAACCACTCTTTAAATACAAATCAAAACCTAACACTGGCATTAAAAAGATCATGGACCACTTCCATATTGGACTTGACCATATTTTTCCTTTTTAAAAACAGGCAAATAACTTGTCTTGCTGTGACACTGCCAAATCCCACCCAGCAGAGAGGTATGAAGCTGGTGATAGAGAAACACTGCTCCAGGCTGTGTCCTGCACTGCACCTGGTGGTGCTGTCTGACAAGAGCCTTCTCTTCCCTCCTTCCCCAGCTCTGTATTCCCAGTGCCAGGATCAGCAGGCAGCCAGTGGCCAGAGCTCTCCTTGCCACAGGACAGCCAGAGCTGCCCCCAGGGACCCCACAGCCCCATAACCAAGGGATGGACCCAACCTGGCACCTGAGCCCTAGAGAAACCCAACAGAGCGTGCCTGCCTGCAGCCTGCTGTCTCAAAATAAGGATGGCAGAAACCAGAGAATCTAAGAAACTAAAGAAAACTTCATATGAAAAATACAGATAACTCTATGCAAACTAAGTAACAGGGAAAAGATTTTTATTTTATTTCTAGTAGTATCTAGTTTCTGTTCACTGTGCACAGAACACACTGAATTGAGTTGTGTCAGAATCATCCTTCAACAGTTCAGCCCAGTAATATCTATAAACACAGGGAGACAGCTACCTTTTTAAAAGTTCTGGACATAACAATGGTGCAATAGAAAGTAAGCAGGCACACAAAGATCAGCTACAGAGTGAACTAGTAAGAGCAACAGAAAAGAGGAAAGCCAGGTATTTTTCATGCTCTGACACATACTGCCATTCAGAAGTCTCTAAACAGGAAGCACTCAATTGTTCTACAAGGCATCATAGATGGGCTCTGTATACAATTACACTCTATTAGAATTTTTTTAAAAAGGAAAGAAAAAAAATAACCAACCCCCTCTATAAACAGTAACAGCAAATCCTACCATGTGTGACAATTTGGGGGCTGTGTTTCTTCCCTCAGTCTGATTTTGCAAACCCTACACTCCTCAGTGCATGCTGTAATTGCCATGCAATATTGCATCACCATTGCTGTGTCTGTGGCACACACAGGGAGGAGGGTGTGGCATGGAAGCTCTCACCTGAATTCAGTGAGGCTCAGCTAAAAAAGTACCTGGACTCTGATGTGCCTTCACTTACCAAGGCTTTCTGAGATAACTATTCCAACTCAAATTCAAGACCTATGTTATGCTCAGTATTTTTCCTGCATAACTTAACAGTAGTAGGGAGCAGACCATCAAAATAACTAGACCTAATCAAAGAGACCTACAAATAAAGGCTGCCTGCCCTACAGGAGACTGACCCATGACACAGAAAGCCCCTCTGTAGGAGGCCAGGACAGGATGACATACATCGACTGCTTTTATAAAGATGCCTCCATCTTGTTCATTCCTTAGGTTTGTACATACTTCCACTTTAGATAATCATTTCTTCTTGGGATCCTTCACTTGTTCTGTATTCCTGTATGCAGCCCTGGTGACAGTGGAGCCTGTGTTAAGTATGGCAAT